TTGATGGGGCGGGGCTGGGAAGCGAGGGGACGGCCGGAGCAAAGCCAGGCACATGCGTGGTGCATCGCAGCAGCTGGCAGGCGGCCCGGCCGCAGGGCGCTGCCCCCGGGCAGCTGCGGCCTGGCAGGTGGTGGGCGGCATGGCGGCTGGGCGGGGTGGGCCGGTGCAGCTAGCGGCGGGGCGCATCAATCCCACCCGCGGCAGCGCACGCTGCACTGCAGCGCCTGCCTGCATCCTCCGGCGCCGCCGCCAACTCAAACGCACACACCACACACACACACCACACGTGCATCATCACATCCAAAAACATTCACACACACACACACAGCCCTGGGCTCACCCCCGCCACGGGTCTCCCCCACCGGATCTCCACCACTGCCGAATAGGTGATGTTGGTGGTGACGTTTAGGAAGAAAGTGGTGGCGTTGAACGTGGCGTTGTAGCCCTGCAGGGAGCGGCGCCTCAGCAGGGCCGGCGCCTGCGCAGGCGCGCCGCCGGCGTCGGCGCCGGCGCCGGAGGCGGGGCCCGGGGCCGCCAGCGGTGCGGCGGCGTCGCCGGGGACGACGGCGGGGGAGGGTCCTCCGGCAAGCTGCTCCACGGGGGCCGTTTCAGGGGCTGGGGTCAGCACCGGCTGCTGCGCGGGAGGCTCCACCACCAGCGCCTCTGTGGCCGGCTCCGCCACCTGCGGCCCCGGCGCCGTCAGCAGCGGCAGGCTGACTGGCTCATCAGACAGAGTGGGGCTGGCGGGGGCGGCTGTGGGGGCAGCCACTGGGGCCGCGGCCCCGCCGGGGGCCACCGGCTGCGTTGGCGCCTCCAGCGGCGCGCCGACCTGGATGGTCTGCCCGGCGGGCTCGGGTGCGGCGGCCACCAAGCCGGGATCCGGCGCAGGGCTGGGCTCAGAGGCCAGTCGGCCGCCGCCGGGCAGGCCGGCGGCGCCCACCGTGCCGTCGCCGCCAGCGGTTGCTGCGGGGGCGGGGGCGGGGGCCACCAGGCCGCCCTCCTGGCTGCCGCTGGGCCCTGGCGCGGGCGGGGAGGAAAGCGCGGGCGAGGGGGCAGGGGTGGGCACGCCGGAGGGCGGCGGCGGCGGCGGGCTGGCGGCAGGGGTGCTGGCGTTGGTGCCTGGCGCGGCGCCCGGCGCGGGCGGCGGCGGCGCCGAGGCTCGCTGCTCGGTGACGTTGGCTGTGATGTTGAGTTCCCCAGGCAGGATGCCACCAGGCGTGGGGCCCGGGCC